CTATAACCCAACTGATGCATGTACTTTGCATCAATCAGAGGTGACTGCAGACGCCAGCAAGAGTTTTTAACCACTTAGATTTCAAATATGTGATTAATTTGGCAAAATAACCCCTACGGTACTTTACTTTAGGAGATGTGAGCTCTTGAGATTGCCGTCAGTGTCGACGGAGAACAGGCTTAAAGCACAGATGACTTCATAGATGAAGATTTGTTGGTATCAGTTTGTGTCCACCTGATGAATGTAAATGCAATATTCACTCTCTTTTAGCTCTGGTTTTGGTCACCACCAGCTGCTGAGAAAAAATATCTGACTCTTTAGCTGCAAAATGCTCCACTTACTTCACCACGTAGTCTCTAACTGTGTGAGCAGGTGGTGTACAGTGGGTTTTTACAGCTTTCTGTGGCTGAAAATAGATATAATAGGAAGATCTTTCATACCTTATATGTACAAATATCCTAACACTACAATATAATTAATACATTTATATAAATGGAAAAAACAAACAGAGGCAGTGTAGGAATGTTATTAGACATTACAGTGAGGAGACAAGCTATCCCAACGGCAAATTGAGCATATTGTGTTCTCTTGTTCTTGCATGTTTCGACTCCTTGTAACAAGTTCAAACTCTTATGAGCATTAGTTTTGAGGCCTAATGAACAGCCTAATGTTACAGCCTGTTTTGTCTAATTGCTGCAATGTATTCTGGACTATTTGCTTCCCTCTCTGAGGTACAGATACCTCTCTTATGACTGATTTTTATCACAGTGTGATCATAATACTTTGGTGGATGTAGAAAGAAGTCTAATCTGTTGAGGACAGTGAAAAAGAAGATTGGATAAAGGGAGCTGATTGGAGAAAAGGAGATTTTGGAGAAATACTTGTCTGGCACGGAGAGAGGGAGAAAAAAAAGCCTTTGGAAGCAGAGAGTGACTCTGCAGAAACAGACAGAATGGAGGGGAGGTGAGGTCAGCAAAAAGTCAGACGGAGACCAGACTAAAGCCTCGGGCTGAAACAGCATGAGGTCATCTGGACTGAGCCCGACTGGTAAAACCCGCCATGGACACACACTAATACCACACAGAGGCACATGGACATCTACAGCAAAACATGCAGCTCTGAAAAACATCCTGTTCTCCAGGAATCTTTTCTTACCAAAAAAAAAAATACAAAGCCTCTCAAACAATTTTTAAGATGCCACTATCACTGCAGCAATGTTTGTTTATTTTGTAACAGGAGTTCACATCATGTTTGTGTCACTATACATTTCTTTTAGTGTTACATAGACTAATTCTGACTTTTAATTGTGAACTCTAAAGATCCCCTTTCAAATTAAATCAGTGTCATGTCTGTAACAAAGAGGAATCAAGAACAGGAGCCATTTTATTTTGGGTGAACTGAATTTACAGTTTAATGACACACAGAAACACACGTACAGATAAGATACAATCGATGCTTGTATGCAGTCACTGGGAGCAGCTCGGAGCTTTCTGTGCTAATGGAGAGTTTGGTGAAGAGTTTTATATGGCAGTTTTTTTAGTAATAATAATCTTCAATAATCTACAGTGCACTGCTCCCCAGTTTATAATCTCCTGTTTAAACCCTGATAGATTAAAGGGTAATTTCTCTAACCTCAATCCTAGCTTGCATTTAATATGTAGAAAAATCCATTTTGATCACTGTCTCCTCCTGTTGGTTTCCATAGCTTCTCCTGATTTGATGGAGAATCACCATGAATACCTTTTATTCATCCAGGAAGAGTTTTAGTTTCCTGCTTCACATTCATATGAGGCCTGGTAAAGTTTGACCAGATGGACAGTATGGTCGGACATTATGTCGACTTTGAAAGAACAAGAAATATTTAATAGCTGGAAGCAGTGACATGTTAAAATCCTCTTTAACTCCACATGACCCACCAGATGGTTCATCATTTAAACACATTTTGCTTTTCAAATGATTGTATCTCCATAGAACTGTCTCTAATAATGCTAACGTGGTAGAAAGCAACTAAATACATTTACTCAAGTTCTGTACTTAGTGCACATTTCAGGTACTTTACTTGAGTGTATCCATTTTATGCTACTTTACACTTCAACTCCACTACATTTTAGAGGGAAATATTATACTATATTTATCTCAAGGCTGCCGGAAATTATTTTAGTACTTTTACTTGTAATGGAGTATTTTTATTGGGCTACTTTTACTTAAATTGAACATTTCTTGGATACTTCCTGACAAAATGTGCATAAAATGGTGCACAAGAGGAAACAGGAAGGACATTTCTTGATTTAGGAGAGTTTTTAAGAGAGGGATATATGAGATTTAAAAAAACCAAAATAATATAGATAAAGTGTAGCTTACTCTAAATACAGTAGAAGTTAACAAAGTCAAGCTTAGACCGATGGAAGCTGAACCGAGTCTGACAGCTTTGGAGCTGGGCCTGCTGAGTATGAGATGTCCTAAAAAAGGCCACCATACAGAGGATCAACTCTTTAAGATTGAACAATAGACAGCTTCACAATAGTCACAGTGGCTACAGACTTTGTTGTTGTTTTGTTGCAGTACATATATTCTGACCTACAGGTTAATGGATTTTACAGCAGGGTCACAACAGGAGGTCAAACAGTTTTAATCTGGAGATGTTGGCTAAACTGTAATCTTTGTCACCTTTATTTAACCTGAGCCAAAGAGGTCAGAAGTGTATGCATGTCTCAATACATGAGGATGTGTGTGGGCATGCATGTGATTGATTTTATAAAACAGTGAGCATATTCTGTATGTGCAGGCCCGTAGCTACTACTGAGGATGTCGAGGTCATGTTTTTCTGGGTCTTTTAATTACATTTCTTAACATGTTAAAGTGACGAGCTGCTAGTTCAGTAGTTGTGTAGTGTGTTTTGAGCAAAGGTTCATGTCATCTTTTTGACGAGCCGAACAACTCTGCTGCAACTTGTTACATTATGTGACATACATGTAGCAAGTTGCACATGTACAGAACGGCCCTGTCGTTTTTTTTCACTTTGTGGGCGAGGGGGCTGTAGCCTACATACACGCAACACTTACAACAAGATCAGCCAACACTGTGTTTGAATACATGTTTGCACTTTCGAAGCACGCACAACTGCCTTACCAGTATGGTATTGGTAGTTATGGCATCAAGGAAATGTATTTATCGTTGTACAACACAAGATTGTATGTGAGAGTCTGCAGTTCTTTTATGTTACACGCATAGAAAAAGATAATTAAATTATTTAAATTACATAGAAAATAAATAAAATGAACCAATATATACAGTTATTTATATACATATATACATACATATATACACCCAAGAAATAATTCTGTAGTGCATCTTTTGAATTGTGTGTCTGGGGGAAACTAAACAGCAGCAACAAGATAGTGGTATGGTTTAATTTATCACTATAATTCATTAATCAATAATGCGAAATAACTCCTCTTTGGATTTTATTGCAAGTAATAATCACATTTACATGAATGTTTTTATTATTTTAACGGGAATTGGTATCTATTTAATTTAAAGACATAGTAGGCCATGTATCTTTTCAACAATTGTATAACTTCTTCAACTTTCATTCAACTTGAATCTGTGGAACATGATCCCCTAGGACTAGGACTCATGTATTTCTTAAATCCTGGCTAGTTTAATTGTCTGTAGTCTGTTGTGCTGGACAAAGACAATGGTGGTAGAGGGGGCAACAGAGGTCAAACTGAGAGAGAACAGTTGTTACAGTGTATGAGCGTCTGTTTGATCTGCACAATTATAGAAGTGAAAGACCAAAGTTTTAGACCAGAAAGCGAAGACATCTTTTCCACTTCTCATGCTTTCAAACGACTGTTTAAGGATTTATAACTTGGTTATAGGGGTAAAATTAGCTTTAGTTAAGGCTAAGGGGACAAGTATGTCAATGAATGTCCTGTTTCTCTAATCCAGGCAGAGACAGAGTTCCCACAGTCATTAATCAAACCAAGTAATCTGCTAAACACACTCACACCCTTGAGCAGATAAAGGCGCTCTATCAGTCACCCTAAACAGGTTTGTAACACTTGTGCCTGGTGACGATAGGAGTCACTTGTTCTGCCAACCTCTGTTATTTCTCTCAACCGTAGTCTACAGCTGATTTGTTAGGCTATCTGAGGTTAATCGATTAATATGCAGCAAAGACAGTTGCGTGGTTTAAAGTGGCATGGTTGTGTTGTGTTGATACAGAATAAATGGGGTCTTTAAAAAAAGCACGTCTAAGCTCTTTTTCTGAAGAACTAAATGCACTCGTGCTTGTTTGAGATGGATCCACTTGCAATTTGCTGCCTCTTGTTCATGTATTACCACTATTGTATAGTAGTGGTTGAATGCACTTACTGTGAGAGGCTTTGGGAGTGTGTAAGGGTGTAAATATATGTAATGTGAAAACAAGATGTGTACTGCAAGTCATTCTAGCATCTCTGTGAGGGGCCACTTTGGAACAGCGGTGCTTTCAGCTAAATGCTCACAATGACAATGCTAACATACAGATGTTTAACAGGTAGAGTGTTTACCATGTTCATTATCCTAGTTTAGTGTGTTAACATTTGCTAATTAACACTAAACTCAATTAGGTTCATGATCAATTTATTATTTTGTCAGACCAATACTTTGGTTTATGACAAAATACTTTCAAAACTAATAATTCCCATTAGCTTCAGCATGACTTTGCGTTAGTGCTAATAAACAACAGCATGTTGGCATTGCCACTGTGAGCATACTTCCACACTGATGTCAACGCTATAACCTCACAGAGCTTATTGATTATCAAGCTATTTGACTAATTGTTTCAAATGCTAATGTGAAATATACTTTGCAGTTGTGTTTAATGTTATCAGATTTGTGACTGGAGTCCAGACCTCTGCTTAGACTACAGTGTATCTTCCTCGTCGGCCTCTAGAAACACAAACCACATGTGTTTTCTCTCTGATTAACACCCCCTCTCTTCCTCTTTCCAACAGGGCCTTGTACACATATGAGGATGACAGCAATGATTTGACACTGGCATCATCAGGAGGTAAGTTTATGGTTCTCTGTCATCAATCCACTATTAAGAATGTATTCTCCCCAAAATGTGACATCTTGCTGTTATTCTAATTTATGTTTAAATGAACATGGCTGCCTGTTAACATGTATGGAGATGGTTATAATTTGCTTGCTGCAGGCCTGCGGGTCTAACTCTGATGAGCTCTGCAGGTTCTGCTGTTGCTTTGGGGGGAAAATTATCATCTTCTTTGTCTCCTGATTGTTACTGAGCCATCAGAGAGCTGGATTCATTATTACCACAGTTAATGGTGCACTGCATGATCATTACAGTCTAATGAGACTTCTCCATTTGATACACACACATGCAGACACACGACACTGTCATACAGACTGTGATAATATTATTGCATCATGGTTTGTGTCCACTTTAAGGAATGTAGAAATACAATTTCTCACCTATTAAAAAAAAACATTTATCTTATTTATCATGAATGTAATTCTTATACATAATGTTGTTACTTGCATGACATTATTTCTCTTTATCTTACATAAATGGCTTTAAGCTGGATGTGAATGTCTCTTCTGGAACCAAACAAGGAAAAAAACATTTGACATATTTATATAAACAGCTACAGTATAAAAATGTATTCACAATAAATTATGTACAAACTGTAACTTAGTAGGTTATAAACAACATGTTCCAATATATTTAACTGTACTTACATTAGGAGGACAAAAACTCACAAATCACTGTAACAGAGTTTTAAGAGGGAAAGGAATATTTTATTTTAATAATGTTTCTCAGCATAAAAAATACAGGCGTCTCCTGTATAATTAATCCATATAATAGGTGTATGTTATAGCCATTGTTTTGAATTATTTCAGCTTTGTTTATGAGAAATCATTTTTATTTTTTCTTCCGTTGGTTTGGTATGGGAAATGGCTCTAAATACTACAGCACACATTAGCCTTAGCTGCTGTTGCTATGGAGAAGAAGCCAGTCAGAGGCACAAATTAAGCTGTTGGAGCTAAAAACAAAACATGTCGCCATAGTAACTGAATTCATCCAAAACAAAACTGACCCAGAATCTGAAAGTGAACTGATTTAAACTGTTCTGACTTCTCTCCTTCAGCTGTCCACAGGCTTGTACTGTGGTCATAGAAGAGCTCCAACTGTCAGTCACCAAACAATAAGTGTGCTTCTTTTTTCACTTGGCTGAGGTTGAAAGTTGGTGTATCAGTAAAACTACATGTGACAAGCACACATGAATACATGATGAAATATATAAGACATGATTTAAACATCCAGTGACGAGCTAAAAACATCAGGTCAGGAGCGATGAGCAGACAGTAACCTCCCTCACTTTAATACATAAAACAGAAAAGTCACATTTCCATCATGTTTTCTGTGTTTTGCCATCGTTTGAGCTTTAACGTAATCTGGAGAATTAGCTCCACCAACTGTTTAACTCCATCAAGCAATGACCTAATAATCACATAACAGTAGTGGATGGAAATTCACATTAAGGAACATATTCCTTTACTGTTTTTTTATAAAACGTTGCACAAAATTTGATCGTAAGCTTGACTCTTTGAGCAAATGAATGGGACATCCAAATACTTTCTCCCACTTAGCAGCTCAATCTGCAAACTATGTTAGGGTAACTCTCCATTAGCATAGCCTTCTTGCCAACTTCTCAACACAGATACAACAATATAATTATAATTACTAATTGCGATTCTTAATGACCGTCATTTGTAACCACCCAAAATATCAGGTCAGTGAAGCTACACAAATTGACATGACTAACATGAGTGGTGTTAGAAGGAGGCCTGCTCTCATCACAAACTCAGTCATCCATGTATTCTTTCAGAAATATATAGCAGAGCAATCAGTAATCTTCAAAAAGAGAGAGAGTAGGTTGGGTGGTTGGGTGGTTGGTTGCAGCGCATGCCACGTAACGGCATCATCATCGATTCCAGCTGGTGATCATTGTTGCATGTCATACCCTTGTCTCTTTTCCCCCACACTTCCTCTCTGCCTCTTACTGTCATACGGTCCCGTAAAGGTGAAAATGCTCCTACACTATCTTTAAACAAGATAAGATAACAATATTCTGAAGACAACACCTGCAGTGACTCCCAAAACGACATGCAGGTGACGACATATGACCGTCATTGTCACGTGGTTAACATTGTGACATGGTCGCATTAGGTTTAGGCACAAAACTACATTAGCTTGTGTAAAAGATCATTGTTTTGGTTAAAATAAGTAAATTATTACAATTATGGACATTTCACACAGGACACATAATCGCACAATGGACCGGCTGTTTTTCTGGTGAGGACTGGCTGGACGTATTTTCATGAGCATGATAGATTTTATCAAAGAGCTGGACGTGTCTCATGTTTATACTTTGATTTGCTTTTGATGAGAACCACGGCTTATTCTGTGAGTCTAATGTAATCATCAGCGCAGAAGTCCTGAATATAAAAACAGCCGATCACATGAGAGGAATAAACTGGAACTACTACAGTGAAGTATCTGCATCATTAATGCTGGAGAGATGCATGAGAGACAAGAGCCACTTCTGCCAGCAGTGGTTTTAGTTTCCTTCATGTCGTCAGCTTTTCCTGAGAGAGACGTGAATATTTCAGCAGTGACGGAGAGGAAACAGAGTTTATTCATCTGCGCTGTAAACCTCAGAGGAATCTCTTTGCCTCTTCAGATCAGAAACCAGTAGACCACAGTCATGTTTGTGTGTACGAATGTGTATGTAGACATCTCTGACTGGGATATGGAGAACAGGATCATAAACTGAGGCATAAAACAAGCAGCCTGGAACAGGTCTGGCCAAACAAAAACTGCAGTCAGTGGTGAAACAAATATTCAGATCCTTTCCTTAAGTAAAAACACTCAATTAAAAGCCATGCATTCAAAATATTACTCAATTATAAGTTTGTACTGTAACAAAAGTAAAAGTATGGCCCCTCAGAGTTATATTATTGTATGTTATACTTACTTATTTCTGATGTACAGTATAAACATGTAAGAGGAATTTTAATGTTATATCTGGTTGAGCTAATTTTAACAGCTTTATATGGTATTTTAATCTGTCACAATGTATTATTTTATAAACTGATTTAAAAAATGAATGTTTTGTTAGAGAAAATTCAAGAAAATTCAGAATTTCTGGCTCCTGGGTGAATTTATACATACAGTACATTGAATAAATAATAAAACATGTATTACTTATATATATTTTGCTATGATTTACCATTTTTTCATAGTTTACAAGACCTGTTTCTAGTTAAATGACATAACTCAATGAGATAGTATAAGAAATATTACAACCTGACTAACTGATTCACATATAAACGGCGTGATCTGAAGAATGTAACAGCCCAAAACAAATAAGTGTGACTACAGTAACATGATACATTTAAATGGGGATATTTATGAGTCTGATTCACCCTTGTACAAAGCCTCAATGTTCCCAGACAGGATTTAGGTATTTTTAATAATTGTTTATCAGATCCAGGTGCAGATTGAAAGTTCAAAACATTTTCTATTATTAAAATAACACATTTAGAGGATTGTCTCGTCTTGGCAGAGTCATAGTGTATGATTGCTTTCTAGTTTGTTTCATAAGTTGATTAATTTGTTAATCTTTTACCATTTTGTGTATTTTCGATCACTGGACGTTCAGAGCTTGTCCCTGACAGAGGACAGTCTGACAGACACATTAAACTCTTGTTCTGTGGTGCAGGAGGCGGTCTGGCAGAGATCACACTGACCTTTGACAGCGGGATGGTGATGTACGGCTTCTGCAGCCTGAAGGAGCCCACCTCCGCTCTGCCACGATACATCCTCATCAACTGGGTGAGTCGCCGGGTCAGGGGGGGAAATGAGAGGGGAGGGAACACCGAATACCCTGAGCAGCACACACACACACACACACACACACACACACACACAGAAATGTCCTCAAAGCCATTAAAGGAGAATATCAGAGTCATTAAGGGTCACAGAACATTTTTAATTTAACAGTTTGTATAACAAGGACACACTGTGTCACTGACGTTCAGGACCTAGAAACTAGGTTCTGTGTCTTCATCATGCAATCACAGAGCTGCAGCCTCAGCAAGAAAAGTCACAGCCGCAGCAGTTTACAGCTGCAGACGTACACTCACTGTCCACTTTATTATACACCTGTGCAATCTAATGCTATTCAATACAACTGTTCTGCTATACTTTTATTGTGCATATTATGTTCAGGGTTTCTCTTGACATTCTCATAAAGGTTTTAATTAAATTCTATGTTGTTGCCATGTTTCTAAATGGGAAGGACAAACAGCTCTCAGTGTTATGTAGTCCAGAACAACACGTAACCTCAGTAATACGCACATAATTGTATTTCCGACAATCTGAAGGCAGTGAGGGCAGTGAGGGCAGCGTTTTTATTTGTTTTTATGTTTCACATAAAACACTTATACAACATCTTATTGCATGTCTGTTCACCCTGGAAAATGGATCACTCCTCAGTTGCTGATCTGAATTGAGGGTTTTAGGACAGAGGGTGTTATTCTATGTTGTACAGGTGTACAAAAAACGAGCGCAACAGTTAATTTTGTAAAGGAACGTTTTTGAGGATTTATTTCCTCGGGGAGGTTTCTTGTGAGTGTCCAGTGATTGACAGGAAGCAGGACATAATGTACCAAATAATTAATATGAATCAATAAATTTAAATCAATAGTTTGCCATCTCAGAGCTCTATTAAAAAATTGTTCCTCGTACCAAAACGGAAAAAAAGATCCAGTGTCCTCCGACGGATGAAAAACAAACTCAGATAAGTCATGTGGTCTTCTCTCTGATCAAAATTAAAACAATGCAACCAGTAAAGTATCTCCACTACAACCACTCCCTCTCTTTGTAACACACATAACCACAGATTTCAAACTATGATCCATTGTTGCGTTTGCATGTAGTTGTCAGCAGCACCATGAAAGCTGTTGTGATGAAAGTAATTAGATGGCTCGATTTAATTTCTTAAAGGTCCAGTGTGTAACATTTAGGATGATCTATTGGCAGCATTGGGACGTTAATATTCATAGGTTTGCTTTCATTAGTGTGTAATCACAGAGGGAGCTGGTTCTATTTCACAGAGGCTGCATGTTAAACCGCCATGTTTCTACAGTAGCCCAGAACAAACAAACAAAACACTGGCTGTAGATATGACCTTTTTGCATTTGCATTTTTTTGCAAGTTTCACAGCCACTATAGTTTCTTTCTTTTCCACGCTTGGAAGGCTGAGCTGTATTCAAATGGTTGCAATCTGCAACTTCACTGCTCGATGCCAGCAAATGCTACCCACTGGTCCTCAAAGTTTGTCTACTTTAAAACTTTTAAGTGACATGAGCAAAACAAATCTAATAATAAATAATAAAAGCTGTGATGTTACCCACAAGGGCTTCTATACAGCGGTGAGTGATGAAGTATACAAGTTTTACAAGTTTACATATAGAAGCAGGAGAGTTTGCAGGTTGAACTACAGTAACTAACTTCTACTTTAGGAGAATGACAACGAATATATTGCTGCACGCTGTGCTTAATGGGAATTATCCCTACTATTTTGAAGTCTGTGTTAACAAATCACATTCATATTTTTATGCCAATTTTTATTTACACCAAGACAAAGAAATGGTGAATGAACAGCAATATTTCAGGTTAGACAATCATTATCAGGTGTTTCTGAGAGCACAGATGCCGTCTTTACAGTGTTTTCTCTAGCGGTTTAAAATAGAGGACAGATGTGGACAGATGTTGCCTGATGCTGTAGTGAGTATTGTAGAGGCTGAACTTGTGACCTTCCAGTTACAGGATAAAACAGAGAGAACAAGTAGGGTTGGGTCACCACACATATAACAGAGCCAGAAAATTTTGTCCACCATTTAATACATGATGAAAAGGAAATGTAACAGGAAGAAATGAATAATTTGTGATGTTGGAGCTCATTTTATCGCAGCGAGAGTCTCTAGCAGTGTGTGCTAAGAGCATTTAAACACAGTCTGAGTGCATCTGAGAGCCTTATGATGAATGTTTTTACTTTCTGAACTTGACATCAGCAGCGGCGCTCTGAGCGAATGCATCTACATAATGTGAGAGTGGTAGAGTGGAGAGAAGAGGTGAAAAGAGAAGGATACAGGTAGAATAAAACCACCTGGCCTTTACTGGCATCTAGTGGTGAACAGAGCCAGTGTTTGGTTTGTCCATTCTGGGCTACTGTAGAAACATGGAGTTTAACATGGCGGACTCTATGGAAGGCGACCTTCGGCGTCTGTAGATAAAAACGACTGATTCTAAGGTAACGAAAACGTAACAATTGCAATATTCAGATGATTATACATTAATGAGTTAGTTAGTTGTGAATATTATATTC